GAGTGCTAGCTGGGTGCCTTGGCCATTCTGTTGCCCGGGCTGACCTCAGATCTCCTGGGCTCAAGGGACCCTGCCTCAGCTTCCCAGGTGCTAGGATTCCAGTACACACCACCACGTCCAGTTTGTATACTGGGACTTGAACTCAGGGCCGCAAGCTTGCTAGGCGAGTGCTCTACTGCTTGAACCATTATGCCCAACCCATTAGTGTTCTTGGGGAAGGGGCACTGTGAATTCCATTGTCATTTAATAATTGCAGAAAGGAAGCCCAGAGAGGTAAAGCAACTTTCCCAAGTCTCCCAGCCAGGAGCAGCAGGGTTTGAACTTGGCAACCTGCCTCCGGCCGGCACCACAGCCCAGTGCTTCATCCCACTGGCCTCAGCTCAGAACCCAGCTCTTCCCTCCCTGGCTGTCAACGCCTGCCTCTTCTCCAGCTCCTTTCAGACTCACGCTCTTCTCCCCAGCTTGTCTTTCCCAGGCCTCCCACCTCCGGAACAAAACCCCATGAAGCACTTTCTTCTGTCCTCCAGCAGCCTGGCCCCCGCCCGCGCCTTTCTCTCCGCCTGCCTGTGCCTTGCACACGGGTGACAACAGCACCAGCCAGGGAAGGGAGAGACGCGGGCTGGCATTCTGTCAAGGAATTAATTGAAAAATAAAATCATTAGGTGGGAACTCCAGAAATGCAAAAATGGTGATTGGAGGGTTGGGGGGCAGGACTGGGGGGGGGGGTTGTTGGGGGACGGCTGAGCTTTTTGTCAAGTTAATTTCTTGGGTATTGATGTTTGGTGACACTCACTTGTTGTTTATCTTCGGGTGCAGCTGTAATACTGGAAGAAAACACACAGCTTGTTCTGTTTATTTAGTTTACACCTTCCTCCCGCTCGGCATTATGTTTGCTTGGTGAAGACTCGCTCGGGCTTTTGATGTGGGGAAGTGGGATTTCGCAGCTGTTCCTGCAACTGAGCGGGTGTTCCTCGCGGACACAGAGCTGGCAGGGGGACTCAGGGCCTGGCACATTTGGGGTCCCACCCAAACCCTGGCCCACATGGATTCCAGCCAAACTCACTAGGTATAAGGAGCAGCAAGCGTGCCTGGCCCCATCCCTGGGCTCGTTAATCCTCACAATCCCCCCCAGGAAGTGGCCAAAGTAAAGTGACCTCCAAGCCGTGGAGTGAGTGGTCACTGCCATGCCCTCCGCATCCTGGGCCCCATGATACCTTCGTCCTCTAACCTGTAAGTGGCGAAGATGTGCCAGCCCTAGGATGCGTGCCACACCCCACCCCTGGCAGCATCTACTGCCCCTGTGGCAGAGCGGCCTAAGAACCAGCACCGTTGTATCAGTCATCCTGATAAAGTCATCAGCCCAGCCCCACTGCCGAGCCTAACAGGATGCCTGCTTTGTTCTTTCTGTTCCTAAGCCTTGCCATCATCCCATGAGGCAGGTGGTAATAGTGGCCAGATGGGAAACTGAGGCAAAGTCTGTTCTTGAGGCCACATGACGTGTAGAATGGAGCTGGGTTAGAACCCAGGCTTAGTGTGGCACTGCCCTCCTGACCACGTAGTAAGTGCTCCGGGCATGTGGAGGGGTCTCACAAGAACCAGCCCCTCCCTCACCCCGGCAGCCAGCCCTGAGGTTAGCAACAAGTAGCCACAGCAGGGAAGGGGGAAGGTGCACTACCTACCTGAGATCACACACAGCCAGGTCTCTCTGATCCTAAGCCAGACATGGGGACCCCAGTCTCCTGCATGACTCTGGCTGTGGCCCCTTACCAGGCAGGGCACCTCAGGTGGTGCCAGGCTGGCATAGCACAGCTTAGACAAGTTGAAATGGGGTTCCCAGCTGCCACCTGCTGGGTGTGGGGACTCTGGTGTACCTCTCTGCACCTCCTCTTCCTACCTGTGAAATGAGGGATTACAGGTGTGAGCCTCTGACACCCAGCCAGGGCTGCCAGCTTTGTTTCCTGAACCTCTGAGCTGGGAGTTGTGTGGAGTGCAGCTTGGCCTTTTTAAAACCTGGCCACCCCAGGGCCCCGGAAGTCATTCCCTCTCTGAGTTGTTCACTCACTTTGCCTCACCTTCAGTGAACATGGAGGGAGCACCCAGTCTGCCTGGACCTGAGACCCAGCAGCCAAGGTGACAGACCCAGCCCTGAGGCCACTGAAGGCCTGGGATGCTTAGGTGAGAGAGGCCCTCCAGGAGCTGGCCAGGTCCTGAGCTCTGAGGGTGGACTCTGTGCTGAGTACAGAGGGTCAACAATTTTAAGGTGCCATCACTGGCTGTGGTGTTCTGGGCTAGTCAAGGCAGTAACAGCAGGGAATGGAGGTAGGGGGCAAGTTTTCTGTAGGATGGGGACCTGCACTCCCCCTGCGCATTTAGAGATCAGCATTTAAAAGCAACAGTGCGAAAGTGAGAGTTCACCCAGATGCCATAGTCAAGTGAGTGCCGGGGACAGAGAGTCATGCAAGGCTGAGCCTGCTGGCAGCAGTCCTAGGCCCTGGACCCAGAGTCTGTGTCCCACTACCGGGAGCTGGAGCCTAGGGCTCTTTATTGTGCAGCGCAGGTTCTCAGTCACTCAGTACACATTTGCTCGGCAGCTGCTGTGTGCCAGGACTGCTCTAGCACCAGGAGCAGGGCAGTGGACCAGACAGACCTGCCCTTCTGGAGGTGACCTTTCCAGCGGGGCAGAGTTTAGAGTGGTTGTGCACACCTGCATTCCCAGCTACTCAGAAAGCTCAAGCGGGAGGATCGGGCAGTGTGACCCTATCCAAAAATCAGAACAGGAGGTGTGGCCTAAGTGACAGAGCACGTGCCTGGCAAGCACAAGCCTTCAATTCAGTCCCCACTACCACAAAGTAAATTAAGAAGCAGGACAAACCAGGGGTACATGTGGGGGATGGCAGGAAGGAGTGGGTGATACGGGCACTAGGGAGACTGGATTGTGGGAGGTCAGGGAAGCCTCGCCACGAGGCAAGGCTCCCGAGCGACTCCTGAGAGAAGAGCATTCCAGAAAGGAGGCAGCAGTGCAAAGGCCCTGGGGTGGGAGCACTGGGTGCCAGGAGCCAGGGAATGGCCTGTGTGGCTGGAGCAGAGTGTTCCACTTTCCCCAAGGGACAGGCTCTGATGTACATTTTAGCAAGGTCCCTCTGGCTACCAATCGAGGCTAGAGACACTGGCACTTACTTGAATCAGGGCAATGGCTGGAGGGGAGCTGTGCGTGGGTCTCTTTTAGAGCTGGGTGACACCAGGGGAGAAGCACTGTCCTCGTCAGTCTGCAGCCACTCTGGTGCTGGACAGAAGGGTGAGTCTCATTTGTGCAGTGTAGACTAGCTGCTGCTGGCACCCTGGGGCCCAAGAGCAGACAGGCCCAGGGGCCAGACCCACCCAACGCCAGCAGCAGGGCAGACAGGGTAACAGCCTCCTGCCCTGTTTTGCTGCCTTTCTCTTTCCTGAGCCTGTCACCTGCCCACCAGTTCCATTTCCAGAGACCAGACTCCCAGCCTGGCGATGACAGCGAGGATGGGGAGTGAGGAAGGAGAGGAAGCACCGATCTAGGGAGGCAGTCCCCATCCTGCCCCACTCCCTTTTCATGGTTGACAATGATGGTGCAGCTGCCAGGCCTTGAGGCTCCCCAGCTGGCAGAAAGTGGGCGCCTCTCACACCATCCTCTCCCTCCCTGAGGCAGCCATAGCTCCACTCTGGGGTCTCAGGAAGCAGAACCACATCACAACATCCCTGTAGTGCCTGCTACAGGGTGAGGGGAGACCTGGGCATGGCAGGCATGGGATCTCAGGGGGCACAGCAAGTGCCATGGGCTAGGGGTGGGTCAAAAAAAGGCAGGAAGGGCCACGCATGTGATGCCCCTAAGGGCTCAGGCGTCTCTGGAGGGGGCAGACCTGCTGCACATGTCTAGAAGGACCTATGGGGAGGGGGTTCTGGAGAGGTGTGGGGTGCTGGGCTGGGTGCCATGGAATGGGTGGGAAGGGTCGGTGTCTAGATCAGCATAGGACGGAAGGAGGGACTCAAAGGTCACTTGCTCACTAGGACCCCCGGAAGGGAGTCCACGTTTCTGAGGTCTCTGTCTCTGAGCCAAACACTGCTGAGTGCTAGGGAGGAGGAAGACACTCAGCTACCACCCACGTAAAGCTCCAAGCCCATGTCCAAGTGAGGCAGAGGGTCCCAGGAGTTGGAGCCCTGACAGATGGATTCCCACAGCCTCTGTCCACTGCCTGTACAACCCATGATTCACTGTGAGCAAGGTTGCCCGTTAGTGGGTGGCTAGACTAGCAAAGGGACTGATGGACCAGACAACCCAGACAGAGCTCAAACCACCCCCCCGAGCCATTCCCTCCCTGGAGGGCCAGGGGCCAGCACACCTGCCTTCTCTATTTTTATTTCCTTGCTATTCTGTGGCTAACACACAGACTTTCATGAAAAGTGAAAGTCTGTGGGTTCAGCGTGACTTGAGTTCAAGTTCTGGCTCCACCCTTTGCTGTGACTCAGTTTCCCTCCCATACCTGTGGGTCTGTTGAGAGGAGTAGAGCCACAGCACACAGTAGGTAGATAGTGTTTGCAGACTGGCTTTATGTACGGGACCCACCATTGCCTGGCTTGGTTTAGCCTCCGGCCTGCTGGAGGAGGCAGCTCACACAGGCTTCTCTCCTCCCCAGAGGGAGCCCTGTCCTCTCTTCCTCCCTGTGGGTGGGTGACGGGGCAGCAGGGGAGGTAGCTCCCCATGGTGAGACTGGATACTGACTCTCTGTATTTCTCTGTCTCTCCCCACCCCTCGCTCCCATCTGTTTTCCTCCCTCTCTCTCTTTCTCTTTCTCTCCCTCTCCTCTCATCCCTCTTCTGACTCCCCCCCCCGCCCTTTATGCCTGTCTCTGCTCTTTGTATCTTCGGTCCTCCTGCTCTGCCCCGCTCCCCTCCCTCTGTCTCTCTTGCCACTTCTCCATCCCATCCTCTCACTGTTCTTTTCTCCTCTCTCGCCATCTGGGCCCCCATAGAGCCCCCGAAGAAAAAGCGCTCTGCAGTGTTGGACGGGATCCTGGAGCAGCTGGAAGACAGTGAAAACGACCACGAGGAGCAAACCCTTCAGCTGTGAGCTGGCAGCATGAGGGTATGTGGCTGTGGAGCCCTGGGGACAGCAGCCACTCTGGCTTCTGTACTTCTACTGTGTGGGCTGGGGAGCGGGGCAGGAGTGGCTGGCGCCCTCTCTGGGTCCAAGGTCAAAGGGGACAAAGACCTGGCCTCGGAAGCTCTGGACGCCTCACCAGTGACACCTTCCAGCAGCTGTCAACACAGAAGGCTCATGAGGCTGACCAAGACACATCCACCCGAGGCCTTCCCTTGTAGCAGCACCCCCAGGCCTGGAAGAGCACAGACACACAGGCTCAGACCCAGCCTTGACCTCCAAGATGGGTGCCTGTTGGCTCCTTCTCCCCTAACCCCTCAGCTGCCAGCAGACCCCTCTGCTGTGGAAGACCGGGGTGCAGACTCGGGGACAGACACACTGCAGGGCACCCAGTGCGTGAGGTTGTAAGGAAAGCTACACACCACCACCAGGAAGAGCCCCAGCCAGGGGCTGAGTGTGAGTATCCTTGCCTCCCTCAGGGTGCTGACCTACTCCTTACCTGCGTCTGGCCAGGGGACTGTGCACAGCCTGGAATTCAGCCTCTGTGGCCTATCCTCCATGTGCAGCCACAAGCCCGGCTTCATCAGCAGAGACGTCTTGTGGCTCTTGCAGTTCCAAGCCCCCCCACCAGGCTCAGGTTGAGCTGCAGTATGTCACCAAAGGCAGCCAGCCACACTCTGTCGGGAGCTGGGGCCCTGTGACAGGTACCAAGGGCCTCATCCTGGTCAACAGCTCCTCCAGGCTTTATCCTGACCGGGGACACCTGTGCTACGCCCACGACAGCCCTGGACTCAGGACGGGGGCTGATGCTGGCACCTGCCAGAGGGAAAATGACAGAGGAGAACAAGACCACGTCCTTCACTCCTAATCTTGAGTCCCAACACCACCCCCAGCGTGCCACCTCATACCCAGGGTGGTCCTTTCAGTCTCGGTTGTCCTGTCTGTAAAATGGGGTTAATCATTGTGTCTGCCTCAGCTACGCAGTGCTGGCGTTAAACTACTGATGTCAGTCAACTCAGAAGACACTCGGTGGTGCCTCTGTTCGCTTCTGAATTTAGGGTTGCCATCTGGGGCTCTCAAGGGACAGCCAGGAATCTTCAGCTTGGTGCAGAAAACTTGATCTGTGTGTTTTCGTGGGGATGAGACTCCAGTCCTCACCTGGTTTTCAGAGTGGCCTGGATCCCAAGCTGGGCTACACAGCCCACTTCCTGTGGGGCAGGCGCACCTTACCAGTCCTAGCTCACCACTGAGGATCAGGGAAGGACAAAGGCAAGTAGCTTGTTCATAACCTCTCTAGTTCCCAGCCCTCGGGCATGCACTGGTCTGTGGGGTCCAGGCTCTAGAGTCACCATGGCCTTGGGCATAACAGAGCCTATGACCATCCCTGTTCCATCCATGCCCATCCTGCAGAGGGCACATGGCTCCCAGCCAAGTGGCCTGATACAGAAAGCGGCCATCTCTGTCACTACCATCACTGATCAGGGTAACACAGGCGATTAGAACCTCCATGGCTGGATCCACACCCTCTACAGCCTCCAGAGCTCAGGCAAGTGACTTATCCCCAGCCTCGTTTTCAGGCTCACTGAAACGAGGGTGTGAATGTCTGTCCCATGCAGGGCATTTGGGAGACCAGATTGCTCCAGGCATCTGTCCAGGGTCACGATTTGAAGATGTGAACCCGGTCCATCTGACCCCAGAGTCTTGAGAACAGTGGGAGGGGGGAAAGGAAGGGGAGGATCCAAATGCTGACAGCCCCAGAGCTGTGTGGAAGTAGGGTGGCTGCCCACCCACCTAGTCCAGAATTGGCTGGCAGGAGTCAGGAAATCAGGGGACTGTGTCGCCTTCCTCCCCAAGCCTGGCCCCTGTGTCCTGCCCTGGGGTCCTACTCTCTGGGTGGGGGGGCAGCGGCAGACCCACAAGGAGATAGGAGGGTAGACATGTCCTCTCAGGGTGCCATCACCCCACCTTCGTGTCACACCACAGTAGACATTCTGTTCAGGAAGCCTCTTGATCTGGCTGGCTCTATAGTTCACACCTGTCCAGGCCTCGCCCCAGCACCAAGGCCTGCCTGACCCTCCCTACTACTAACTGCCCCCGCCTGGGATCTCCCCCGCCATTTTCCTATTGGGTTCCACTTTTGTCCCTTTTGAGATCTAGTCCAGATTCCACTGCCTCCATTTGAATTTGACTTCCCCTGACAGCTGATCTGTAGGAGCGGTACATCTACTTGGTGTGTATAGATAGTGAGTCACAGAGTAGGGCTGGAGGAGCCTTCTGGGAGGGGCCTTGGTCATGATGGCAGAGGCATAGGACCCCAGCCGTGCGTATCCACTCACCCAAAGAGGGATGAGAGAGAGTGCAGAAGTGGGCCACGGAGGTTGACGCTGAGCAAGGCGTGGGGTGTGGACGAGCTGCCGGGTCTCAATGGTGTAGACAGGTGTGGGTTCAGGAGATGGGGTCGTCCATCAGGTGTACAACCCCCAGCGTGTCAGGAGGTAGCCTGGAAGAGAATTGTGACAAAAGCTGGACCAGAGTGAGTACCCAGGAGAGGAGATACGGTGCCAGAAACCAAAGGGACAAACACAGAAGGCTTGTAGCCTTGGGGCCAGCCACCCCCCTGGGCTCAAGACTCAGGAGTGGGGCCTGGATAGCAGAGGATACAGAGACAGACCGACTCCAGAGCTGGGGCTGGAACCCAACCTGCTCGTTCACATCCATCCTCCTGGCACTGACCTCACGCCTGGCCCTGCACCTGCACTTACCAGGTCCACTGCTGTCAGGCCCCTGGTCAGGTTTACCCAGCATGGACACCAGCAGCGTCTGGGCACTGGTGGAGGAGAAAAGCCAGTTCATCCCTACCCCGGACTCTGTCCTGGATGGCGGCCCCACTGAGGGTCCAGCCTGGGCTCTGGTACCTGGCCCACTCTCTTAAGTCCCTCCAGTGCCTGTTGACCTGAGTGTCTAAGCACTTCCGGCTCTTTTGTGGCAGTTGTCTGCCTGGCATCCCTGCCATGGAAGTGCCCGACAGAGCAAGGAAGAGAGGAGCCTGGCAAGGCCTGCCTGCTGGGGATGGCGGAGAGGGAGGAGGCCCAGCCTGGAGGGAAAGTGCTACCCATACACCCCGGAGGAGGGTCCTGCGTTTCCAACTCCAGGACAGCAGTCAGCCTGGTGGGTGTAGGGGAGATGGTGGCTGGACAGGACTTTAAGGAAGGGCAAGCTATAGTGATGGTGGGGGCCCTGCTGGGGGTGGGGAGAGGGGCAGGCATCCACAAGCCCTGAGCAGGCATTCACCAGTCTGTCTCTCAGCCTCCTTTCCATGTTTGCAAATGGGTACAAGAATTTTTGTCTCCTAGGATTTAAAAAATAAATAAATAAATAGATCGTGGGTGGATAGCAGACTTTCTCATACCTGTGATGCTAATTAAATGATAGTCACTCGTAACGTTAGTCTCTAACAAGCAGAGGTTGGGGGGCCCGTGGGTCAGGCCTGTGTGCAGAAATGGGAAGGAGGTACCCTCTACCACTGAGTTCCACACAATGGTGTTTGGTTGGGGGCAGTGGGGGGGCGGGTTTCGTGTTCACAGCAGCACAATTATCCTTGCTGAGAGCCTGAGTCGGGCTCTAACCAGGCCAGACTACAGATCCACAGTTTATAGGACGAACCAGCAGGCTGGAGTGATCCCAGGCCGCGAGGTGGCATCCCAAGCTGGCCTGGAGGGCTGCCTCCCCCTCCTCCCCCCAGAAATGAGCTGCATCCTCCAGCTGGCTGGCTGGTACCCACGGCACAGACTGGAAGTCCACAAAACCCATGAGCTTAGGTTTTAGCTGAAGCACCTGGACTGTGGAAGGGAGCTGACTGGCACATAGAGAACAGGCACCATCACTACAGATGGGAAGAAAGGACGCAGGCCAGAAGCCAGGCAAGTCAGCACCCTCACTCATTCATTCATTCATCAGATGCTTGCTGGGCCCCAGGATGTGAGGACAGAAACCAGGGTGGCCCTGCACATCTCCGCATGGGCATCCCTTGCTGGGCAGACACCAGGTGCTGCCCCAGGCTTCAAGACCCACAGGTCTGGCACAGGACAGTTTCCAGCGGCCTGCCTGCAGGACTTCCCTCCCTCCAGCACCCCCCTGGCTTTTTTCTTTGGTGCAGGCCGGGCTCTACCCTTGCAGGCAGTGCCCAGGACAGGATTAGCTGGGGCCAGGCACGCAGGCCTTGGTGAACAGAGCCGAGCTCGGTTTCAACATCTAATTCAATTTGTTCTGCTGAGATTGAAATATGAAATGGTTGCCAGTCAAACGTTCAAAGGACAGGGAAGGGGGAAGCGAGAGTGAGCGGCTGCTGAAATTTAAATTTTAATGAAAATGGCTTTAACCCTTTGGTGCACCTTGCAGAAATGGAACACAGGCTCCTGCCTGCAAACAGATTCTTCTGGGCTCTGCTTCCGCATCTCTCACTGAGCTCAGTAATGATTGTAGTCTTCCCCACCACACATCCCTGACAATAAGATTAGGAATACTTTCTTCATGATGTATTCACCAGTGCTACCTCTGCTAAATGGGTGTTTTCCCTCCTCTAGGTGATTTGCCCAAGCTGAGATTGTTATTTTTACCTAGGCTGGGATCAAACGATCCTCCTGCCTCAGCTGCCATAGCTGGAACTACAGGCGTGCACCACTGCACCCAGCTCTCCTTGATCCTTCAGCAGCCATGTTATTTATTTTGTGTCTGCCCCATCTCTAATTGTAAGCCACAGTGGAGCAGCATCCAGTCCTGTTCTGTGCATCACCCCTGGCTACAGGAGGTGCATCTATGGAATCTAGTAACTTTGCCTTGGGGAGGCGGTGACATTTTCATGATAATGATGTACAAGGGTTGACCTCCGAGTTGTCCTGGCAGGAAGAGTGAGCAGTGGGGCCACTGTCCATGCATGCTCGGCCATGACACAGGTCAGGCTGGTGGAGGAGAGTAGGGCAGACTCAAGTGACTGTGACCAGCAGTGGAGAGAATCCAGTGACTCAGACCAGGGTGATGGCAGTAGAGAGGTGGCAGGGTGAGGGCGGCTAGAGCCCTAGACAGGTTGAAAGTCGATCTAGCTGTGGAGTGAGCAGAGCTAGAGTCTGGGGTTTCAGTGGGAAGGGAGCAGCAGCCCTCATCTGAAGCTGGCTCAGCGGGAACCCCAGGGTGGGTTTTCAGTACTTTTAAGGTGGAGATGTAGAGAGCCTGGGCCGATGTGTGTCAGTGCAGGAGAGGCCAAGGCACAGTGGGAATTCCCTTTTCAAGAAATCTAAGTGGCAAGAGAGACTGGAAATCCCTAGCACACAGCCCAGAAGTTCATTTTGTTTTGTTTGCGGGGGGTGGGGAATTGGCTTAATTTTTGATTTTGAGAATGTTTTGGCTTTTTGGTTTGGGGTTTTTTGGTTTTGGGGTTTTGGGCAGTTTGTGCTGGGTTCAAACCCAGGACCTCCATGTGCTCAGCAAGCACCCTAACACTGAGCTACACCCCAAACTCCTCAAGTTCCTTTTGAAGCTGTTCAAGGTGGCTCCAAATTGTTTTGGCCACAGAACCCTTCAGAACAAAAATCTTTAGCAAAACCCCAGCATGGAAACAAGATAAAGTGAGTTGTTCAAGGTCAGAACACAAGGTCTGGCCCCATATACCTGCACCCCCTCAGCCCCTCAGGGCTTTGAAAACCACTTTACTAAAGCCATAGGAATGTAATAACACAGAAAATGCAGAAGGGACAGGAATGATGAAAACCAAGGGTCAGCAAACTCAGCCCGTGGGCTGATCCAGCTGCCGTCTTTATTAATAAAGTTTTATTAGAACACAGCTGTGTTCATGGCTTACATCCAGTCTGCACTGAGATGCTTAGACCTCCGCCTCAACCAAATCCAGCAAGCTTTACAGGCCACAAGGCCAGACCCAGAGATGTGAAGCGGCATGTCCGAGGTCACACTGTGACAGAACTCCCATTGCCATTCCCACTCAGTCTCGCTGCCTTGCTATGTCATGGGCCAGCAGATTGGAACCAGTCGACCTGGGCTCACGTCCCAGCTCTGCCACTACCCACATAAATCATGAACCAAGACAACAGGACAGGCACTGGGCTTGGGGGCTGGAAAGATCACCACCCACATGTGGCACTACGGCCCCAACCTCTGAGGGCAATGGCCCCCCACCCTCCAGCAGGCTCTCCTCATTCCCCACCACCCTGGAAGCTGGACTCTTCCAGCACAAGCCCTGGGCCATGGCCTTCCTTGCAGCTTTTGTGACCGTGGTCCACTGGGGCTACAGCGCCCCAGCCTTGGGCTCGAGCCAACGACAAACGTTTTCTTCTTGGGCAGATTTCAGACGGCAGCTGGTCCCTCCCTAGGGACTGTGAGGAGTCCCACCCCCTGTCCCCAAAGGACTGCAGGTAGTAGTGTCCCTGCCGCCCTGTACACCTGCAGTTTACAAAGCACCTCCATGGTTACTCGGTTAAATCGTGGTGGAGTTGCAGACAGGGCCTGTCCCATTGCAAGGTGAGGAAACTGAGGCCAGGGAAATGAGCTGAGCCACCATGGCTACAGTTCCAGGAAGGTACAAGAGAAAGGCCCCCTCACCACAGCTGGTCAAAGACCGGGCCTCTCCTTCCCCTTCAGCTTGGAGAAGAAGGGAGGGAGATTAGTTAGTGGCAGGAAGCACCGCTCCCCTTACAGTTTCTCAGACTGCATTCCCCAAAAGTACTTGTATTCTTGGGTTCAGCCACGCATCCCTCCTAATGTAAGCATTTGTGTGCCATGAAATGCAAGCCAACTTCTTCACTCAGTGTTCAAAACTAGGGGCCCCACTGAACTGGCCTTGCAGGAAGACAGTGTGTAGACCGGGGTGTGTACTGGCTGCTGCACAGGCCTCAGCACTGGGGGGTGTCAAAAGATGGAGGTTGATTTGTCTCCCAAGAGGCCTTTGAGAGATGAGCTGCACAGAGAGAAGTATACACAACCCAGATGTCCCCAACTGCTGCTACCAGAAGAGAACCCTTGTTCTGTACCCAGGCACACAGCCTGGAAGTTCGTACATGGCTGCTGCTTGCACCCCATTGGCCAGTTCACAGTCACGTGGCTGGGCCTAGCTGCAAGAGATGCTGGGAAACAGACATTCTCTTGAGGTCCCACTGAACAGCTCTTGGTGTGGTGGTGTCGGAAGAGCTAGCATCCTGACCTCTTCTAGGGCATTTCCAAGGTCAATTTGACTGTCCTTGACTTCCACCTTTTGAGCTGACTTTAGAATTTCACACACATGCATACACGTATGTTATAAAAGCCACAGATTTGATGCATTTGTCAGTTCTTAACCCAAGAGATGGCCCCCCTGCCAGGGCCCAAGAACTAAAAATTGTCTAAAATCATCAAGGAAGTGTGGACCCTGCTGATCACACAAGGAGACAGAAGGCAGGAGTTATGGCTTGGTGGTGAGTGCTTGCCTAACATGCACAAGGCCCTGGGTTCCATCCCCAGTACCACAAAAAAACATATATACAACAGAGAAAAAGCCACTTTTAGGGGGAAGGAAGGAAAGGCCCCATGTTCCCACCTCTTGTAGACTCAGTCATGTGTGGCCAAGTGCACCCTCGAGGTGTTATCTAAAACCCTGTGTTTTCCTCAGGTCCTCAGAAAGTGTTCACTGATAGACAGTGTGTTGGTGCCCTGAGACAGCTGTAACCAAACACACATACTGGGGGGCTCAAACCTCAGAAACTCACACTCTCATAGTTTCAGAGCCAGAAGTCTGAAGTTAGGGGGCCAGCAGTGCCTCACTCCCTCCAGAGGCTCCAGGGCTGGATCCTCCCTGCCCTTTCCAGCCTGTGGTGACCAGGAGTCCCTTAACCCATGGCTGCACCACTGCAGCCTCTGCCTCCAGCTTTTTTCCAGTCTGCCTGTGGGGGATGTGTGCAGTGGGACACACCTGTGATCCAAGTTACACAGGAGACCCAAGCAAGGCCTGCCCAGGCAAAAGCATGAGACCCTATCTGAAAAAGAACTAAAGCTAAAAGGCTGGGTCGGGGGGGTGGCTCAAGTGGTAGAGTACCTGCCTAGCACAGGCCCTTAGTTCAAACCCCAGTACTGCAAAAAACAAAAAAAAACCCTGCCTTTCAACTACACTTGTTACACTTGTCACTGGATTTGGATTTAGGGCTTGCCCAGGAAAAAAAAAAGTTCTTTCAAAG